CACAAGACTATAGAACTCTTCCTTCCCACCTCACCACCACATTACACAAGGCTTATTTACAACAGTTCTTTTTACCCAGTACATCATATCTGGCTATCAAGAAAAAATTACAAGGTATACCAAAAGGCAAAAACCACAATTTGAAAAGATAAAGCAAGCATCAGAACCAGACATGGTAGAACCAGACAGACATGGTAGGATTTAATGATCAGAACAGGAACTTAAAACACCTGTGATTAATGTGCTATGGGTTCTAATGGATAAAGTAGACAGCATGCAAGAATTAGATGGGTGATGTAAAACTGAAAGATGGAAATCCCAAGAAAGAACCAAAAAGAAATGCTAGAGGTCATTTCAACAGAAACAAAGAATACCTTTGATGGGCTTATTCCTCTACTGGACACAGCTGAGGAAGATATCTCTGAGAGTATTTATCAATAGAATCCTTGAAAACCGAAAAGCAAAGAGAACAAAGACTGAAAAAAGCCAGAACAGAATAACCAAGGACTTTGGAACAACTTAAAATAAATGTGGCACACACATAATGGAAATACCAGAAGGAAAAGAAGGAAAGAAATAGAAGAAATATTTGAAATAAAAATGGCTGAGAATTTCCCTCAAACTAATGTCAGACACCAAGCCACAGATTGAAGAATCTCAGAATACCAAGCAAGATAAATGCCCCAGAAACCTATTTATGCATATTATTTTCAAAGGACGAAAAATCAAAAATAAAGAAAAATTCTCGAAAGCAGCCTAAGGGAAAAAACACCTTACCTTTAGAAGAACAAAGTTAAGAATTATATCCAACTTCTCAGAAATCACACAAGCAAGTAGAGAGATATTCAGTGTTGGGAAAAATTAAGGCACAGTATGATCAAGGAACAACAAATAAGTAGCAGAATTTAATTTTTTTTCCTGCAGAAGACAGCACCAGCTTTATTTTAGGAAATAATCACATGTAATGGAATAGGATTTTTTACTCTAATCAGAATGACCTTTTCATGTGCTGTGAAGCATGAAAGCAATGACTAGGTAAACTCAGCTGAAAAGCAGTACAGCACATAAACAATAAAAGAGTAGAATTTAATTCTGAACACTGACATAGATAATACATAGAAAATTTCTAATGTAAGAGAGAGAGCATAGTCGTGCTGGGTAGTGTGGGCTCAAGCCAGAAATCTGGGCTTCATCCTCACCCTCTTACCAGTGGCATGATCTGGGACAAGTTATTTAACATCTGAGTCTTGCTTTCTTCATTTGAAAAATGGGGATGATGGTGCCTACCTCACAGGGTTATTGGAGTTACTCCGCAGCAGCAAGAGTAACCTGAACCAGGCTGAGAATGTCTGCCATAGTAAGGGTTACATAAGAATTTGTCATACAAATAAATTTGATAATTTGGAACTTGATGTTTAACCATGGGACAGAGATCAGTTGCATCCTACTCTTTGCAACCCCATGGACTGTAGCCCATTAGGCCCCTCTATCCATGGAATTCTCCAGGCAAGAATACTGGAGTGGGTTGCCATTTCCTACTCCAGGAGATCTTCCTGACCCAGGGATCAAACCCACGTCTCTTGAGTCTCCTGCGTTGGCAGGTGGATTCTTTGCCACTGAGCCACTTGGGGAGCCCAACCATGGGATTACAGGTATCCAGTTCTTTCCATTCATCTTGTGACTTCTTGCTTTAGTTTCCTGCTGTTATTGATTACTCTCCTTGTCTGTCTCCTATTTTGTTTTACTTATCCTTTTCTCATCTTCTCTACTATTATTATTTATGCTTCTATACCCCACATTCATAACAGGAAGATGTCATATCCAGCTCATCACTGGTGAACTCTAGTACTACTTCCTGCTGCCTCTGCTATTTAAAGAGCAGCAGATTCCTGGACCAGCATCATGTCATGGCAGCCTCGCTGGGAGAGAGGATATGAAAGATCACTCTGTGAGGACTCTATTAGCATCCGAACCCCTCCTGGGAGGCTCTTTGGAATCTTTGGAAAGTCAGAATAAGGCTCATCTAAGGTCTCGTAGGGGATCATAAGCAAGTCACTGTTTGTTTCTTCATGTGTAAAATGAATCTTACAAGCTTGTTTTCCAGATTAAATTAGGCAAACATATTATGACCTTAATAGTCTGGAGTTATTCCACTTTATAGGCACATGGAAAAGTAAACCATAGTGACAAAAACTGTAACATGTAAGGAAATGAAACAAAAAGCATTAGAGACTAAAAGGACCAAGAGGAGTGAATTCTTTCTGTTTGTGTTGTTCAGTTGCTAAGTCACGTTCAACTCTTTGCAACTCCATGGACTGCAGCACGCCAGGCTCCTCAGTCCCTCACTATCTCCCAGAGTTTGCTGAAATTCATGTCCATTGAGTCAGTGAAACTACCTAACCATTTCATCCTCTGCCATCCTCTTCTCCTTTTGCCTTTAATCTTTCCTAGCATCAGGGTCTTTTCCAATGTGTCAGCTCTTTGTATCAGGTAGCCAAAGTTTCTATTGTTACATTGGTGTATCTAAGTGTGGATTCCTTTCTGTTTATCCTAATTTGGGATTTGTTGGGTTTCTGAGGATTCTGGGAAATTTTCAGCCTAATGAATATTGTCTCTTCCTTATTCTACATCTCCTTCTGGTACTCCTTGTCAATATACCTTTAGTCCTTTTTGGTCCATCATACATGTCTGTTAACTACTCCTTAATAATTTTTCATCTCTTCACTGTGCTGTATTCTGATAAATTCTTCCAATCTAACTACTGACTCACTCATTATTAAGAATTCTTGGTAGAAACATTATTGTTTTGCCTTCATTAAGCTAAATATGAGCCAATCAAGAGCATAGCATCACCCTTTGCAGTGTAGGTTTTCATCTATTATCCACATTACCTTTCTGAGGCTCCCAGCCATAAAAGGGTCTCTGATAATACTTGCTACCTTGCTTGTACCTTAGGCTTGCCTCCTAATACTCCTTTAAACCAATGCAAAGCCACAAAAGAGTAACAAATAGACACTTTCTGGGAAGCCAATGACTTTGACACTTGTCCATTTTTCTGAATTGTCTTATGGACTCCAAGATTTTTCCTTTACTTTCCTCTGAGCTAGGCAATGGATTTAAATGTCACAACTTTTTTTCCTGGCATTTTTAAGTGCATGGTTAAGTGGTAGTGCCTCAGGTTAACCTATCCATCCTATTTGCAGAAATAGAAAGTAGGATATTATTATTCATCTGTGTACTTTTAGTGCTTAAAAGAGGTGCTCAGCTTATAGTTAACATTAAAAAAAATATGTGTAATGAATCACTGAAAATGGATAATTCTGGCTGAAGATAAAACCACACACTTTTACACTTGTTATCTATGTAAATGGATGCAACTAGATTTTTTTCTGGAATTGGATACACTTACAGTTAATGTTACAGTTTTGGACTTCCCTGGTAGCTCAGGAGGTAAAGCGTCTGCCTAGAGACCCGGGAGACCCGGGTTCGATCCCTGGGTCAGGAAGATCCCCTGGAAAGGGAAATTACAACCCACTCCAGTACTCTTGCCTGGAAAATCCCATGGATGGAAGAGCATAGTAGGCTACAGTCCGTGGGGTGGAAAAGAGTCCAACACAACTGAGCAACATCACTTTCACTTCCACTTTTCACAGTTAATGTTTCAGAATTGTTAGGCTGATCTTACCTAAGGTGGTGAGAGGTTTTGAGGAGTGGTAAAAATAAAAAATAAAATAAAAAGATGAGCAAATATTTTTCTTCTTAACCAAGAAAGAAGTAGTGTTACTAACTGACAGATGCAATACTTTATTTCTATTTTTGGAATCAATATCAGGCTATTTATAATTTACATAATTTAAAATCACAGAATAATGCTTAAATACTTACATTTAGCACTAGTTTACTCTTCTCAATCACTTCCTCTAAAGTTTCATTGGCTTCCTCTTTCCACAAGGTAATAAAAGTATTCATTTCTTGGGCTACTGAAGGATCAGGACTCCCATCACATTGAATGTAGTGTTTCCACTGCGGAACAAAAATGCTTGCAAGTTCTCACTGATGAAAATTCAACCAAAGATTAAATTACTTCTTTTTCAATATATGAACTCTTATAACCTAGTTTTCCAATTCAAGTGAAAAACATATTACGATTTTAGTTACTTGAAGATGTCTCTAAAATACCCAAATATCTCTTCATCAATATAACTTACAAGCTTCAATAATTTAAAATAAATAGAAATTATATCTATTGTCACATTTTACTTTTAAAACAGTGTTTATGAGATGATTTTGTTTTGCTTTCCTCACTAATCACATAGCTCCTGTCTTTACACAAGTTTAACATTTGGGTTAATTTATATTTCTCAAATTATTACTAATTATTAATTGCCATGTCATTTTAGTATGTCATTCCATTCATTGTGTAGTCTATGCAAACTCTACATTTGTAATTGCATTGTTTGTGTGTGTGTGTGTGTGTGTGTGTGTGTGTGACTTAATCAGTTGTCTATGACTGTTTGCGACCCCATGGACTGTAGCCCACCAGGCTCCTCTGTCTGTGGAATTCTCCAGGCAAAAATACTGGAGTGGGTTGTCATTTCCTTTTCCAAGGGATCTTCCTGACCCAGGGATCGAACCTGGGTCTCCCACATTGCAGGCAAATTCTTTACCATCTGAACCACCAGAGAAGCCCAATCATATTGTGATTACAATTTTTTTGCTTTAAGTTATGCTATAATCTTTGCCATATTATTACAGTTTTTCCTTTCTAACCATTGATATTGTTTCCAAAGCTGCACTGTTTTGAACAACACTCAACGGCCTCAGGGTCAAACTTTTCATATTTTAATTTAGGATAATTTCCTCAATATAAATTTCCCCAAATTATCAGAGTCAAAGGATATAAAAATGTCAAGGATCTTATTGACAAATAGATTTCTAAAAAGCTATATGAATTTAATTTGCTACAAGCAAATGAGAGAGATTTGTCAGATTAACTTTTTTATAGACACATTTAAAGTTTCCTGTTATTAAGATGGATATAGGACTATAACTCCCTCTTATGGTATAAAAGTGTTAGCTAAAAAAATAAAATCAGTCTTACCTGGGAAAGGAATCTATCATCTCGTTTCAATTTCTCTGCTTCAGGAAAACATGCTTCTAATAAATAAAGTTCTTCAAGCTCTTCATTTCTCCTTTCTAGATCCTGTTTCATGGGGATAGATACATTGATCTTTTTTTAATTTCAGCTTTGTATTTTGTAAGTGTGTGTGTGTGCGTGTTAGCTGCTTAGCCGTGTCCGACTCTGCAACCCCACAGACCACAGCCCACCAGGCCCCTCTGTCCATGGGATTCTCCAGGCAAGAACACTGGAGTGGGTTGCCATTTCCTTCTCCAAAAGGAACTATAGAAAGAAAGAAAGTGAAGTTGCTCAGTCATGTCCGACTCTTTGCGACCCCATGTACTGTAGCCTACCAGGCTCCTCCATCCATGGAATTTTCCAGGCAAGAGTACTAGAGTGGGTTGCCATTCTTTAGTAAGTAGCATCTAAAATTTACTGGACAAATATTTAATTTCAAGATGAACACTATAGTTAGTTTAAATGTAACTGATATTTCTAAAAGGTTTCATCTGAAACAGTGGTGTACATAGTGTGATATGCAGCTACCAGGTGATTCCTCCAAATTCTTTTGGGATCAGTGAGGTCAAATCTATTTTAATGACAATACTACGACTTTATTTGCTCTTTTTGCAGGGTACACATTTGCAAAATGGTGTAAAATTGCTGGCGCCTTTGTAGAAATCAAGACACAAGCTTTATTAGTGGTCATATTCTTCAGGGGAGAGGGGTGATAAGTAGCCAGGTTCACATAAGAATGACCTGATGAAGAAGTAAAAATTATTAATTGTATTAAATGTAAAAACTTAAGTATATGTCTTTTGATATTCTGTGTGGTAAGATGGGAAGAATGCATAGAGCACTTTTGCTGCACATCAAAGAACAATGCTATCTTGAGAAATAAACATCTGTGCAACTGTTTGAGTACTTTGGCAGACCTTCTGTCAGAAATGAATGAACTGACCATGTCACTTTCAGGAAACACTGCTGCCCTTGATAAAATTCAAGCTTTCAAATAAAAGTTTGAATTTTAGAAAACTTGTATCCACTACTAGGGAGCCTGACAGTTTCCCAATCCTTAAAACCTTTTCCTGTTTGACTGGAGTTGACACTAATGCGTGTGATCTTTTTGATAATGAATTATAACAATACATCAACATTTGGAAGCAAATAATTCAGTGAACCATTTTTTTCCAAGCTATCAAGTCTTGATGTTGAAAAATCATGTGTCAATAGAAGATCTATTCAGAGTATAAAAACAGATCAATATTTTAGTGTAACAGAGTACATAAAGTTCATTACTTTGGTTTCAGATTCCACATTAAGATGCTACCACCTATTGAGTTTCAATATAGTATCAAGGCAAGAATCCACAATTATCTGAAAGGCTGTTGCAATATTTCTCCTTTTTCCAACTATCTGTATGAGGCCAAGTTTTCTTTCTTTATATTTACTTCAATCAAAACAACACACACTGTAACAGATAGATAATGAATAATGAGGTAGGGAGGAGATCCAAGAGGGCTTCCCAGGTGGCACTAGTGGTAAAGAACCTGCCTGCCAATGCAGATTAGACATAAGGGATTCAGGTTAGATCCCTGGGTCAGGAAGATCTCTTGGAGGAAGGCATGGCAACCCACTCCAGTATTCTTGCCTAGAGAAATCTCATGGACAGAGGAGTCTGGCAGGCTGCAGTCTAGGGTTGCAGAGTCAGACACGACTGAAGTGACTTAACATACATATGAGATCCAGTTGTCTTTTGTTAGGTCAGACATTAAAAGGGCTTTAAGAGATATAAACAATGCCACTCACTTCCCTAATTTAAATATACATTTATGTGGTAACAGATGTTAACTAGACTTATTGTGGGACCATTTCACAATACATACAACTATTGAATCATTATGTCATACATTTGAAACTAATGTAATTTTATACCTGAATAAATACTGCAATTGCTTTTTTCTTTAAGTATGTTTAATGTGTTTACTTTTTAATTCATGTTTACAGTTAACAATGTCTAATCTCTATTAATACAATAAATATTTTGAAATTTCTGTTTTAATTTCTAATATGATAAATATTGATATATATAAATCATCTAAACAAAAACTTCTTGGGGATCTTCACTTTTTAATAGCAATGAGGTTTTGTCCTGAGATTAAAAGGTCTCAGAACTACTGATCCAATAATGAAGAAACCTGGTGAAAAAGAGAAGTGAAATTTTAAAAGGAGAGGTAGAATTTGAACATTTTTTGGTCCCTATCTAATTATCTATAAGATAGATTGAGAATAATAACTTAATGGTTAGAAGCATGAGCTCTGAAGCAAAACTACTTTTGTCTAAGTCTTGGCTATGAAATTTATAAGCTGCTTAATCTCTCCATATTCCCCAATTTCCTCATCTGTGAAATGGGAGTAATAATTTACCCACCATAACTTTATGGTAGGATCAAATGAGTTAAACTAGTTCATACAGTCCTAAATATCATGGGTATCTGTGAGAGAGAATGATATTAAATGGCCAAATAGATCTGATTGCTGTTGTTTTAGTTCCTAAGTCATGTCTGACTTTTTGTGACCCAATGGACTGTAGCCCACCAGGCTACTCTGTCCATGGGATCTCCCAGGTGAGAATACCAGAGTGGGTTGCATTTCCTTCTCCAAAATAGATCTGATAGCCACACAGTTTGTCTTCAGTAATAATGTCATTAAAGTTTACTTACTTTTGCTTCAAGTTTTTGCAATTTTTCATTCTCAATTCGTTGTATTTCAAGTCTTTCCATTTCTTCTTTTTCATATTTCACACGTGCCTCCTCTAAAGAACAACAGCAAGAAAATTTTTTAGTCTGTTTTTAAGCACTTAAAGTGACTTCAAATATTTAAGGTATAGTGGTGGTAGAATACTAGCTATAAATCACAACCTTTATCATGTAGTAGAAATAAAACTGCCAGATTTCTTTCAAAAAAACAACATGACTCTCAAAATTTCTGGCCCACAATTATATTTCTCTTCTCCAAAAAGTTTATAGCAATCTAATAATGATGTTAATTAATGAAAAGTGACAGATCTATCATGGGTAATTAAGAAGAGGTAAAATCTTCAGATTTCCATAATCTTGTGATATCTACACCACCAGAAGTAATGACCTAAATTTTCTCTTGCTTTCACTGTTAAAAAATAAAACATGAAATATACATTAAAGAATAAGAGTTTAACCCCAAATAATAAAACATTCCCCAAGCAGTAGGTCCTGATACTGTATTCTTATCATAAGTCACCTAAAGGATTTATATGATTATTAATAAAAAACTCAACTTGGAAACTAATGTGCTGGTGGTGCTCAGTTGCTAAGTCATGTCTGACTCTGCGATCTCATGGACGGTAACCCCACCAGGGTCCTCAGTCCATGGGATTTTCCAGGCAAAAATACTGGAGTGGGTTGCCATTTCTTCCTCCAGGGAATCTCAAACCTGCATCTCCTGCATTGGTAGGCAGATTCCTTACCACTGAGCCACCTGGGAAGCTAAGGGCAGACATTTAAAACCCAAGTATGAATCAACAGATGGTCTTCATGTTAAAAGCTATAACTATCTGAACTATTCAGATTTTTAAAGTCACTTTTCGGTATTTTAAATAACCAAATTATTATTAATTTATACCTGATATTCTTTAACAAATGAAAATCCTCTTTAAACTTGACAAATAGATATAATTACACTGTAAGAACTTAGGCTGCTCTATGTGTTTCTTGCTAGTATATATTTCCCATATTTAATTTGAGTTTAAGAATTCTTACTGCACAGTCAGCACCAAAGCTCTCAATTTAATCATTAAGTAATGATATAAACACTTCAAGATAGGATTGCCATATTTTTCTGACTCTGCGATCTCATGGACGGTAACCCCACCAGGGTCCTCAGTCCATGGGATTTTCCAGGCAAAAATACTGGAGTGGGTTGCCATTTCTTCCTCCAGGGGATCTCAAACCTGCATCTCCTGCATTGGTAGGCAGATTCCTTACCACTGAGCCACCTGGGAAGCTAAGGACAGACATTTAAAACCCAAGTATGAATCAACAGATGGTCTTCATGTTAAAAGCTGTACTATCTGAACCATTCAGATTTTTAAAGTCACTTTTTGGTATTTTAAATAACCAAATTATTATTAATTTCTACCTGATATTCTTTAACAAATGAAAATCCTCTTTAAACTTGACAAATAGATATTATTACACTGTAAGAACTTAGGCTGCTCTATTTGTTTCTTGCTAGTATATATTTCCCATATTTAATTTGAGTTTAAGAATTCTTACTGCACAGTCAGCACCAAAGCTCTCAATTTAATCAGTAAGTAATGATATAAACACTTCAAGATAGGATTGCCATATTTAGCAAATAAAAATTATAGGATGCTCAGATGCATTTGAATTTCAGATAAATAATGGACTATTTTTGTTGTTGTTGTTCAAGTATATCCTAAATATTGCTGGGTAAATTATCCCAAATTATCCGTTGTTTATCTGAAATTCAAATTTAAGTGGGCATCCTGTATTTTATCTGCAACTCTCCTTCAAGATATATCTGAAAGTGATTGGTGGGTATGCTTTAAAAAATAAACAGCTACTATAAAACACTGTTGTTTAGTTGCTAAGTTGTGTCCAACTCTTTTGTGACTCCATGGACTGAAGTCCACCAGACTCCTCTGGTCCATGAGATTTCCCAGGCAAGAATACTGAAGTGGGTTGCCATTTCCTTCTTCAGGGGATCTTTCTGACTCAGGGATCGAACCTGCGTCCTCTGCACTGCAGGAGGATACTTTACCACGGAGCTACCAGGGAAGCCCATTATAAAACATTAAATTCAAAAAAATTAAAATTTTGAAAATTTTCTTTAAAAAGTATTGACTGGGTAACAGAAATGCCAACCTATTGTTAGCATTACCTGCATATGAAAATAGTTATCACTGTGTGTTTTATACCTTCCTCTTTTTGTCGTTTCTCTTCTTCCTCTTGTATCTGCCTCAACCGGTCAGCTTTGGTGATTTTCTTTTTCTTACTGCCAGACTTAACAAAGGTTACAACTTTTAAAAAGGTTAACATGTACACAAACTACTTAAAAGCACTTTTACTTCTATGAATCTAGTCCTCTATTTATTCAAATAAGACTGCCTATTAAGTGCAAAGCTTTGACTCAGGACCTTAAGAACAAAATACAGAAACAGTAGGAAAATTAGCATATAAATTATTCAAAGGAAAAATTGACAAGTATATACCATTTAATTCTATCATTCCCAGGTTTCACATTTTTTAAGTGGTGTTAAACAAAATTTCACTTCATCTTTGTGAGGATTAAACTAAAATATATGTAAAAATATATTTAACACTGCCACATGTCTAAAAAATTAATTTTTTATGACTAACAGATATAAAGAGTTATTTTGCAAGTCTGGAGTAAGGAGAAATTATCTCCAAAAGCTGGGATCAAGTAAAATTTGTATAGAACAGCTAGCTTGTAAGTCCGTGCCCCAAGGATTTTAATACTTAGATATGAAGGGAAGATACCCCCAGGAAGGGAAATGGAGGCATAAGCTATAGAGTTGGGAGAGGACTGGAATGGCCCTGGGAAGACCGCAAGAAGAGGATACAATGGACTCGAGAATGGAAAAGAAGGCCAGAGCCTAAGCCATGAACATTGGACATTACTCTAAAAGAACTGGAAACCCCCAAAAAGTTTTTGAGAAGATCTGTGGCTATTATCTTGGAAACTAACCTGGTATTGGAGGGGGGGAATAATTATAAAGATACCATCATTTTGGTGACTATTAACAATTTATAAAGTCATGATACTGGAAATGCAGATGGAGGATGGATCCAATAAATATTGTATAAGCTAACTTATTTGATAATGATTAAAGCTGGAGGCAAGAAGAGGAAAGGAGTCAGAGAAGACTCAGAAAGGAAGAACAGTAGTCCAGATGATGCAAATTAGAAAGAGGAACTGCTTAGATAAATTTATGTACAATTAGTATGAAATGCTGGTGGAGCCTTCAGGCAAGGCTTGCAGGCATTGAAACTGAAGAACTAAGGTGCAACAAAGAGATGAGGATTACAGAATAAAGATTTGAGAACTACCTTGGTGATGACCCCTCCCCTCCATTTTTCCTACGGGAGAACATAGAAAGAGAAGAGCACCATCTAAATTTAGAAATCAATTGTGTGGCTAATCCTTGGGATATACAGACTCTTGGATGTCCAACTTCTCTTTTTGGCTCACCTACTGCAGAATGTACCATCGGAATCTCCAATCCACTAGCCCTGTCACTTTTCCACCATTCATCAATTCCCTCTTCCCATACGGTCACTTCCTACCCCAGTTAGATTTCACAGTTCATCACCATTATCACTAACATATATCTCCACCTCCCCTACGTTCCTCTCCCTCTGAGAAGTTCAGCTGGCAAATTCCTAGTTCTAGTTAAACTCAATTCATTTATTCTGTGCTAGCCATAGGGGCAGCTGAACCTTACCAGAGAAAAATACACAAGTTCAAATTTGTGAGCACAAATTTTAAACAGGCTCTAAGCACCATCCAGTATACCTACTACTATTTCATTCTCCTCACTCTTCAAACTCCCCAAATCCTCTTCTATTTCCTACTCTTAAGTGTTGACCTTACCTCTTAACATCACTAGAAACCTTAAGAGTGTAAGAGTGTTAGCTGCTCAGTCGTGTCCGACTCTTTGCTTTTCTCCCTCCCTTTTACTTCCCACTCTCTCTTTTGCTCCAATGCTGTTACCCTTTATTTCAGACTGCCTAAAGGGAATTGCCCGCTGACTCTACATCCCCATTTTCTGCATGCTCCATTCCAATCAGGCTTTCATTTCTATTGTACCATTTAAGCCTCTCTTATCATGGAAGCTTAAGATGGCCATGTTTTCAATGACAATGGCCAATTTTCAGCCCTCATTTTAATTGTCATCATCATTTGACAAAGTTTTCTTTCTCCATCTTGAAATATTTTCATTAGGCCATCAGGTTGATACTGATTTTGCTTTCTCCCCCCCTTAGACTTCTTTTCTGGCTTCTCCTCCTCAGATGTACTTGATCAGTAACTTTTAAAATTATTTGTTCATATCCCTAAAAGAATGTTGAAAAGCTATGTACCCCTTCACACATTTTTAAGCTGACACTGAAAACTTTTAACCACAAGTTTAAATATGTAAAAGTAAACTGTAACATCACTCTTTTAAATATTATATCCATCATTATTTAAAATATACCCAATGGATCTACACAATATAGTGATTTAATGGCCAATTTCAATTAAAACTGTGAAAAAGCTTCTTTTTAAAATAAAAGTTTTCTAATCCTTTTTTCTTTGATTTCATATTTCCATTCCACTCACCCCACAGAATCTTACCCTAATGTGATACACTTGAAAAACTTTTGCTGATTTTCCTGTCATAAATAGGATATGGAAATATTATAAAAATATGTATGAAAATTTCAATTTCCTTGACTCTAAGTTTCTAAGCAATATAAATTTTACTCTGGATTGAGTTAATTTTTAAATTATTTTGGTATACAATTGAATAAAGCAACATTTTATATTACAAATTTTGGTAAGTAAATATTAAAACATAAACAGTAAAATTTTACTAGATATGCATCTTTTGATGAGATGATTGGGTTTTTTCTTTTCCCTGATTAGTTCACAATCCAAGGATAAATGTTAGCTATTGATGAAGAAAATAAGGATTCAGAAAGATTCTATTTTAATTTTTACAGATACAGAAAATGAGAAATCTAGTTTATATTAAAAAGCAAATGAAACAGGTTATAGGTTATAGCTGTATCATGCAGTTTTTCAAATTCTTTCCACAACAAATGCCAAAAATTATATTGACTTGCCAAAAAAATTACTTCTACACTAATCACTAATTTTTGTGACGATGTTCTTGTTTTCCTTAAAAGTATTACTACATATGTATATATTCCTAAACAATATAGTTTTCTTACTTTTGAATTTTACATAAATCAAATTCTATTTTATGAATACAACTGTAATTGATTAACTTACAGTCAGTAAGTATACATAACAAAAAATTACCATTGTAACCATTTTTCAGTGTGCAGGTCAGTGGCATTAAGTACATTCACATTGTGGTACAATGCTCACCACCATTCACCTCCAGAACTTTTTCATCATCCCAAACTAAACTCCGTATCCTTAAAACATTAACCCCCTGCCATGCCTACAACCCAGCCCCTATCGATCACCATCCTACTTTCTGTATTTAGGAGCTTGATTACTCTAGATATTTTCTATAAGCAGGATAATACAATATTTATCCTTTTGCGTGATTTACTTCTTTAGATACAAATTGTGGTTTGAAAGATTCATCCAAGGGGGGATATAGCTGCAGCTGTGTATTTTCATTGCTGAATAGTAACTCGTTATTTATCCATTCTTCTCCTGATTGACACTGGATGGTTTCTAGTTTATCACTATCAAGAACAGTGCTGCTATAAACCTCTCAGTGTATGTATCATGGCGTCCACACAGGAGTTTCTCTAGTGTATATACCTAGAGGTAAAACTAGTGGGTATGTGTATCTTCAATGTAGTTGAAGTTGAATTTTCCAGAGTAATTATTCCAATTTACACTCCATAATCATTATCCTGGTCAATTTGTTAATGTCAGTATTTTGCTTCTCTGGCAGTTTTTGTTTATTTAAAATACAGATGACACTTATCAGGCTAAGGAAGTGCTCTGTAACCTATTAAGGTACAGTAATTGAATTTCTAACTCAATCTAATTTTATTAACTTAATTTCTTATATTAAACCAATTCTGTGTCCCTGAGATAAGCTGAATTGGGTCATGATTTTTTTTTTCATTTTATATACTTCCAATTGAGCATACTAATGTTTAGTCACTAAGAAATTTTGCATTTATGTTTGTGAAATGAATTTCAATTTTCCTTTCTCATACTATTCCCAGGTTACCCAGGTAACTCCAAATGAATTAGGAATGTTTCCTCTTTTTCCATGCTCTAGAATAATTCGTAACAAAATGAAATAATTAATCTTTGAATGAAGAACAAGCTATCAAAGACTTACAGACCTAGGATTTTCTTTCTGGGAAAAACTGAAGCCACTGATATAATTTCTTACATGATTATAGGACTTTCAGGTTTTCTACTTCTTCATGAAACACTTTAAGAATTTTTTTTCTATTTGTCTAATTCATCTAAATTTTCTAATTTATTGGTATATAAAGCTGTTCAAATTATGACATTTATTGTTAAACTCATGTCTCTCTTTTCATTCCTAAAACAGGCATACTCTGGAGATACTGCAAGTTTGGCTCCAGACCACCACAGTAAAGTGACTATTGCAGTATTGTAAGTCACAAATATTCTGGTTTCCCAGTGCATATAACTTATGTTTACACCATACTGTAGTCTATTAAGTGCACAATTGCATTGTGTCTGATAAAAGGTATGCACCTTAACTTAAAAATACTTCATTGCTAAAAAATTGCTGACCATCATCTAAGCCTTTCAGTTCAGTCAGTCAGTTCAGTCACTCAGTCGTGTCCAACTCTTTGTGACCCAATGAACTGCAGTATGCCAGGCCTCCCTGTCCATCACCAACTCCTGGAGTCCACCCAAACCCATGTCCATTGAGTTGGTGACACCGTCCAACCATCTCATCCTCTGTTGTCCCTTTCTCCTCCTGCCCTCAATCTTTCCCAGCATCAGGGTCTTTTCAAATGAGTCAGNCAATCTTGATTCCAGCTTGTGCTTCTTCCAGCCCAGCGTTTCTCATGATGTACTCTGCATATAAGTTAAATAAGCAGGGTGACAATATACAGCCTTTAGAAAGTCATAATGTTTCTGCTGGTAGAGGATTTGAAATATTGCAAGAATTACCAAAATGTGACACAGAGACATGAAGTAAGCAAATGCCATTGGAAAAAATGGCACCAATAGACTTGCTCGACACAGGCTGCCACAAACCTTCAATTTGTAAAATATGCAGAATCTGTGAAGTGCAATAAAGCACGATAAAATAAATGCCTGTATTGATTATATATGCCATTTGTTCTTCTTGATAAAATTTACCAGAGAATTGTTAATTTTTTCAGTATTTTCAAAGAAATAAATTGTAGCCTGTTTATTCATTCAATTATTGTAAGAAATACTGAGAATCTAGCATGCGGTAGGCATTCGAAATATGTCTATAAACAGACAAAATTCCTTGTAATTATGTACTTATGAACTTACATTCAAATGGGAAAAGACAAAAATAACCAAAAATTTTTAAATAATTTAAAAATCTGAATTATAGTTGATTTACAATATTAATACATTTCAGGTGTATAACATAGTGATTCACAATTTTTAAAGCTTATACACCATTGATAGTTATTATAAAATACAGGGTATATTCCCTGTACTATACAATGTATCACTGTGGTACAATAAAAAAAATTATAAAATAATTTATAAAATACCTTAGAGGATGAAAAGTAGTATGGAGGAAAGCAAAGTGACTCCAAACCGCAGCGGTCACTCAAAAAAGACAAGCTACAATTTTAAATGGAGTGTTTAGGGTGGGCCTCATGCAGAAGATAACATCTGAGTGAAGACTTGAAGGATATGAGATTATAAATCCTCTCTATTGTACGTTTTCAGTTTTATTAACTTTTATATTTGTCTAATTTCCTTTCTTCTCCTTACTTTGAGTTTTAGTCTTTTTCTTGCTTCTTGAAAAGAATGTTTAGTTTCACTAAGTTTTCATCTTCTAAAGTTAAGCATATAGGGTGTCATATTTCCCTCTAAGTACCTCTTTAGACACATTCACAAATTTTGAAGTAATTTTCTTATTATTGAGTTAAAAGTATTTTCTACTTCTACTAAATTTTCTTGACCCATGTCAGACTTTTTTTTAATTTCTAGAATAGTGTATCTTCCTGTTCGTAACTTATTTCTTTGATTTTTAAGCTTAATTTCATTGAGGTTATAATACATGCTCTCAATTGTTTCAATTCTTTGAATTTTGAGAACAGTTTTATGTCACAGAACACTGTCAGTTTTGGTAAAAATAAAAAAAAAGGTGTGCCTAAAGTTCTCTAGCTATTGGGTGCAATGTTATAAATGTCTCATTCACTAGATTTATTCATCATGTAGCTCTAATCTTCTAAATCCTTACTTTTTTTTAATGGCTGTTCTATCAGTTAATGAAAGAAGAAATTTTGCATTATGATTTTGAGCTTATCTATTTCTTCTGATAGCTCTCTGAATTCGTGCATTGTATATTTCAAAGCTTCACAATTAGGTATACACAAATTTAAAATTATATTTTCTTGGCTAACCAAATTTTTATCATTATAAAATGACCATCTTTAATTCTAGAAGTGTTTTTAGTCTTAAAGTCTATCATGTCTAATATTAAATTATATTATACTGGCTTTTGTTTTTCTAGTATTTGCATAGCATGTCTTTTCCCATCACTTTACTTCCAACCTTTCTGTATTTTTATTCTTAAGATAGTGTTTGTAAAAAGATTATTGTTGGATATTATTTTTTTATCCTTTTGTATTCTTTCTTGGTATCTTCAATTGATTATTTCTTTGTTAGTGTACTACTCTCCCTCTACTAGTTTGGAAGTTATGTACGTACTCTATACCATTGTAGTGCCTATCTTAAAAAGTCAACCTATGTATCATTCTTAAATAATCCTTCCCCAACCCAAATGCTACATTACTGTTGTCATATTTTTTAATAACAGTTTTATGGAGATAAAATTTATATGCCATATATTTCACCCATTTAAAGTAGGCAGTTTAATGGTTTTTAGTGCATTCAGTGTTGTGCAACCACCATCATAATCAATTTTAGAGCATATTCATCACTTCCCCCAAAGAAACCCCATACACATTCACAGCTCCCCCCTCATTTCCTCACAACCCCCCCAGATCTATGATACCACCAGTTACTTTCTCTATATTTCATGTAACTGGAATCATACAAGGTATGGTCTTCTGTAATCAGCTTTATGCATTCAGAACAACATTTTCAAGCTTCTTCCATGCTACAACATGTAGCAGCATGTATCATAAAACTTTCATTTTATGGCTGAAAAATATTCCATGGTATTACAAGATGGATACACACATTTTGTTTATTTATCAACTGATGACTATTATGGATTGTTTGTTGTCATATATTTCAGTTTATTTTTAAAATTCACATGTCATTATTAGGAGTAATGTTTTATACCTTACATATATAATCTGGTTTGCAGGTGGAAAACACAATTTTTGCTTGAGAAAATGCTTTCTATTTTGGCCTCACTGCTGTGTGACTTTCAGGATCTTAGTTCTTCCCCAACCAGGGATCGGACCAGGCTCATGATGGTGAAAGCAGAGAGTCCTAACTACTGGACTATCACGGAATTCCCTGAGAAAACATTTTTATCTCACTTTTGTTTTGAAAATTTTTGAGCTGATATAGAATTCTAAATTGTCAGTTATTTACTTTCAGTACACTGAGGACATCATTCCACTTTTTTTGGCTTCTGTTGTGGCTGTTAAGACCAGAAATTCAAGATTTAACCACTTCTACAAAAAAAAAAAAGTTGGCTTAAAACTCAACATTCAGAAAACTAAGATCATGGCATCTGGTCCCATCACTTTACGGCAAATAGATGGGGAAACAGTGGAAACAGTGGCAGACTTTATTTTTTGGCCTCCAAAATCACTGTAGATGGTGACTGCAGCCATGAAATTAAAAGACTCTTGCTCCTTGGAAGAAAAGTTGTGACCAACCTAGACAGCATATTAAAAAGTAGAGACACTACTTTGCCAACAAATGTCCGTCTAGTCAAGGCTATGGTTTTTCCAGTGGTCATGTATGTATGTGAGAGTTGGACTATAAAGAAAGCTGAGCACGGAAGAATTGATGCTTTTGAAGTGTGGTGTTGGAGAAAAGTCTTGAGTCCCTCGGACTGCAAGGAGATCCAACCAGTCCATCCTAAAGGAGAGCAGTCCTGGGTGTTCATTGGAAGGACTGATGTTGAAGCTGAAACTCCAATACTTTGGCCACCTGATGTGAAGAGCTGACTCATTTGAAAAGACCCTGATGCTGGGAAAGACTGAGGGCAGGAGGAGAAGGGGACAACAGAGGATGAGATGGTGGCAGAGGATGGCATCACCGGACTCAATGGACATGGGTTTGGGTGGACTCCAGGAGTTGGTGATGGACAGGGAGGCCTGGCGTGCTGCGGTTCATGGAGTCACAAAGAGTTGGACACGACTGAGGGACTGAACTGAACTGAAAATATATCTCAATTTCAGTCATGTTAAAGTGTAAAATGTAAAAAGATGAGTATCCTAGAATTAATAAAATACAATATCATTAAGTAAAAATGTTTCAGATTTAAAACAATGCCTCTAAGATTTCACTATCTAAAGCCAAAAATGAAATGTCCACACAAACTAATAAACTACTGTAGACCCATATATAAATGATTGTAGTCCACCAGAATACTCCCCGTAAGAATGTGCTTTATAAATGTTGCTCAGTTATATCCACAATCCCTAACACAGTATCAGGTTGGTAGTGGGTTCAAGTGACTGAGAAAAGCAAACACCAGTGGCAATCAAGAGAATTTTTTGAAAAAATGTTTAACTGTATAAATACCAAAGACACATTTATATAATCATGTCTCTTAAATGGGGTATTATATATTTATTCAACAAATATTCGTGAACTTCTACTATGTGCCGGACTAAACACTATGGATCCAAAAATAAATAAAACATGCTCTTGACCTTGAGCAGCTCACAATGAAAAATTATTACAATAAAATGACAGGTGTTATAATTGAGTTATATATGAATTCATGTGCTATCTGAACGTAGTACCACTGATTTCACAAGAGAAAATGATAGGAAATTAACAGAGTGGTGACTCTTCAGATATGACTTAAATCTGGCATTCCAAATCGAAATCCCGTTGAGATCAGAAAGGCAAATGATGAAAGAGATTTGGTCATAGTCTGGACCACAACAAAAGGGGAAGCATTTCCAAAAAGGTGTAGCTGCCACTTGTCTAGCCAACTGTTCCCTTATGGGACTGTAGGCCCAGTGTTATCAGGTTGCCAATTTTTTAAGAATAGAAATCACATTTTTGCATGATAACACCTTGGCAACTGATTAAAAAAAGAACTTTTAGGTTAAATGAACTATGTCTATGTTTGCCAGTAAGAGACTATAATCTCTGCTTTAAAGTATAAATCTACTCAGTGAAGAGAGAAAAAGTTACTTGAGACATCCTCTAAGGAACTGAAATTTTAACAAAGCACAGAAAAATTCAGTACATGTTATCACGCAACCCATTTAGAAACATATTATCTTAGGGTTCACTTTTAAGTCACAGAAGGTTTTGGACCTAAATTTTTATGGGTTTATCTGAAATGAAGAAAAAGCTTCTTAATCCAAAATTTTCTAGAGCACAAATAATAAAATACTTAAAATCTAGACACAAGTAAAAATTAAAGGCTATCTTAAAAAAGTCTTTGTGAAATTAGAAGCATTTTTTAACATCAAATTTGAAATATGTCCTGTTATTGTAAAGGATTATTCAATGATTTAAATAGCATTAACGTCTAAAAACTAAGCTTAGTAAACTCCATAAACTATAATACAACTACCGGAAAATGTTTTAAAAATTCGATTTTTAAAACTATTTTGAGAAATAATTTCTACCTACCTTTTTTGCTTTGGGAGCCTAAAAGTTGGAAAAACAAAAGAATTGATAAATTTAAAAAATAATTCATACATTTTAAACAAAAGTATCATGATTACCTAACATGTTAAGATTCAGAGAAGCTAGGTAAAAAAGACAAAGGAACTTTCTGTACCCTCTTTGCAAATTCTCTTTAAATCTAAAATTATCTCAAAAGGTTTTTTTAGAAAAGAATTCAGACAGAACTACAACAAGTCTAGAAAATACTATGATAGTTCACCCACTGAAGCATGTTTTGTAAGTAAATTCTACACTTTCTATGACAATCAATGATCCATGTTTAATGAAATATCTGATTATGAAACAGAATACCAGTTAAGAAGGCACTGATTTAAAGGGTTCTAAAGAACAAGAAATCATTGACTAAGTATTTGTATTAATGTCAAGCCTAAAAGTGTGGGAATGATTTCATATCACAGAGACATAGTCTATCAAGTTAGATTGCTGATTTTATAGAAAAAGAATCAGTAATTTAAAGCCGGTAAAGCTGTGACAAAGTGATTCTATTCAGCAATGAGTCCTAAAGCAGAGGTATGATTTTTTAGATCTTAGAAAGTAAAGCATTTCAATAAATATTTACAAGTATTTTTTAATAACTCTACTTGTAATTTCCTGATTTGGCCCTTTTGTTCACTAGATTTCTGGTAAGGAATTTGTAAGATGATACACTTCCCACATTTGAAGACTAGTACAAGAGAAGTTATTGGTTCAAGCCATAAGGTTATCACTACATACAATACAAATGTTAAAACTGACATCAAGCAGTAGATTATATGTTTGTGCATATATCCCACTAATTCATTCAACGGGTATTTCTTAATGATTTACACACAGTTCTCTGAGATACTAGAGATGACATAAATAAGAATGATGGTGACTCGACTCTCACAACTTTTACAAAGGTGTTTTATTTTTACCATACTTGCTATCATTAATAGTTAACATACGTCCATCTTGAAATAACTTCTAGTGCCAAGCACAAAGAATATGCTCCATATTTTCCCTTAATTAATGAATTAAATAGTTAACTAATTACGCTTTCCACTTCCATCTCGTTTTAATCACTGAAGAAGATGGAAATCACGTTTAAGAAAATGGGAGACGAGAACATGTCATTGCTACATGTTGGGTCTGTGTTACTGGAGAAGACATGATAGATGAAGAGTGCAGAAAAACAAAACAAGAAGCTTTATCATACTTAGACACCAGGCAGGTTGCATACACAGAATCACAAAACAATTCAAATATCCACAAAAGACCACAGAAAATAACTTTTCAAAGCAGAGTAAACTGCAGCAGCTTTCAGTTAATTGCTGAGGAGGCAAAAAAAAAAAAAACAACAAAAAACCCAAAAAACAAAAAACTATGCATTTCCACCAAGCTGCAATTAAAAAAAAAAAAGCAATTTCACAGGAATGTCTATCACTACTAGGAGTAACTAAATTGAGACGAATATTTGAATTTAGCAGCAGCTGGAGATTAAAACACCATCTGATCTGATTAAAACAACACAAACTGGCCATTCCCCGTTTGCAGAAACCGGTCTGGACTCTCTCTCCGGTCCGTCAGACCCCGAACGGAAGGCCATACTTCAGGAGAGGTCCATCCCCCCTAAGGATATGGGGTCTTTCCTAATAAAATATGACAGGCTCTTGCCACATCATTTAACACGGCGCAAGAGCATCAGTGATGGCCCCTTGACCCTGCTCCCCTACGTTCGCCGCTCACCATGCTGAGGCATACACGACCTCTGTAGTCGGCCAAGTGTGATCTCTGGGTTGTGTGGACCAACGCTGCCGCGTTGTCAGGACGACAAGCCCCACCCACTGGGCCCCAGGGCCGCTGCGGAGGTCCCCGCGTCTGGGTTAGCGTAGTCGCGCTGGGGTTCTTCCGGACGGCGCCCTACCCACTTCCCTGACAGGTTGCTCCACCCCACAACAGCCTGCCGCCCGCCTCGGTCGAGAGCCTCCGGCGTCGGGGCTGAGGGTTGCGTTTACGGCTGCGGCGTGCCGGAAAGTGCGTGAGTGCCGCGCCGGGCGTCTTGTTTTGTTTTCCGGATGCTTGAGTCTGGAGGCGGTTTGCTCTGGGCGACGACCAGCAGGTGTAGGAAAAGGGCTTGTGTGCGTCTTCCAACGTTGACAGTCCCTCTCCCTGTTTCCGTAGATTTGCTGGGGCGAATCTTTCTTTGCGGATTTCGAGAAGGAAGGGGGCCACCGGCTACGCGACTGGGTCAAGTGACTGACACCGGGTCGGCTTCCTGGGCCGCCACCGCTTAGACCAGCGGGGGCCCGGGCTCGATTGGCAGTTTAGAATAAAAGGTAAATAAATTGGCACCCAGAGGGTTATTTTTAAATGACCTTCAGATTCTTCTCCCTGCACCTGGTTGTTTATTTCCTGAGACATCAAGGTATATGCTGGTTTTTGTGTTTGTTTTTCAAGAGGAGCTCTAAACAAGAACTGGAAATAATTTGAAGTAGATCCTGGGTAACGTATACCTTACTGGTGGAGGTCTCAGAGACCCAGCAGGACGCGCTAAATTCGGTGCCCAGAGTCAAGGTCACAGTATACTAACCGGTCTACTAACATGAAGAAACTCTGGCAGCTTAGACCAACAGGAAAATTAGAAGAAAGTAAGAGACTGAGAAGTTAACCTTCCAAAGCGTATCTGAATTCCGTATGAATTTAGATCTAAACCCCGTTTAGGCTTAAACCTCATTTTAGCCTGACAAGACATGAAATGCTTTAAAATTCTTGCCACCATTTCTCATCTCTGATTGTAATTTTATAATGCGCTCTTGCGATTTCATTGACTAAAGGTATTATTAAATAAGTATTTCTGACTCAGCTAGTCTTTGTAGGTTAAAGTGTCATTCTCCCCACAGAAATCCAGATTGTGTCATACCTATGACATTTCACCTTCACATCCCTGGTAGCAAGATTAAAATCGTCTTAATGTCGACTTTGATATAGAGTTCCAAAGCTGGTATGGAACTAAGCTTTTAAGTTTTTCAATCAAACTACTAATGTTTATGATTACAGAACTTCAGTCAGCTCTGATGGGAATAAGGAAGTGTGAATGGTAATCACAAATAATTTTGATATTGTGGTATTTCAGGAGAGACTTACTCAAGTTCTTCCACCAAATTCCCCCCAGGGAGGAGGATTTGCTATGGATGTGTTAGAACATGCTGGACTGTGTTCTAGGGGACTGCTCTGCTCTGAGATTATACCAGTGCGCTTATTTAGTTCTCCTCTACTAGTCTTACAACCTGCAAGAATAAAAAGGCCCATTTCCTCTGTTCACTTTTACCTCCAGACAGGTGCAGTTCCTAGCCCCTCTGAACATACATGACCATCTTCTTTCAACTCACTTTTATAATCTTCTAGGTAGGCCTCGACCAAGCAGAATACCAGCTTTGGGGGCAAAATCTCTTGCCACCTGCCTCTCAGATTACATATCCTTTGATGCTGGCAAGTGTGTTGGGATAAATTTTAGTGTGAAGCTTTTTAGGCTTAACTGCTTTGGGGAAATGTGCTCCATCTGTTTGAGTCAAATCTGAACTTCATGGGGAAGAGTGATCAGTAACAGCTTTGGGCACCATGATGTTGCTGTTTAGTCACTAAGTCATGTCTTACTCTTTCGTAACCCCATGGACTGGAGGCCCCAGGCTCCTTTGTCCCTGGGATTTCCCAGATGAGAATACTGGAGTTGGTTACCATTGCCTTCTCGCTTAACCCATTACTGGAGTTGGTTAAGTCTTGGCCCACAAGTCATTGGGAAAGAGCTATCAATGTGGATTGTATGCCCACCCCCATCCAGGTTTCTTAGAATGATAGGGAACTTCTCACACTCCCTAACTCTCATTTGGCTCTTTATAAAAACAGTAACTTCCATGACTTTATGCAGGGTTAAGGAGCAGCCCCAGGTCCCTGCTGCATTTAAACTGTTCACCAGTTCACCCAAGGAAACCTGTTTCTCCTAAAGGCTAAAGTAAACTTAAAATGCCTGAAGGTCAGTATGCAGTAATAAAACATTTCCTTAACTCATGAAAGTTAATATATCAAGGAATGGGACAAATTTATCTTGGTCACAGCAGCTACTTTTTTGCTGGGCAGGTCCTTTTTTATGCATAATTTGTTTAAAAAACAAAGATGATTTAAGCCACATTTCTAAAAACTTTTACACAATGTGAATTAAATAGAGCTATGCTGTTTGCCAGGAATTAAACAGGCTGTAATTTCTGATTTGAAGTTACATCTAATGTAGATTTAATTTACAATTGTTTTAAAAGCACAAGGTTCTTCCGTAAGTGTCATTTTCAGTAAGATTAAAACACACAAAAAGTGGCTCTCAGAAAAAAATGTTTTAAAAATGGAATTAGGTGTTGCTGTACTGGGATAAATAGACCCATCTAATTTCACTCCTGAAAGCACTAAATCTTCAGTAAGCGATTTTAAAAATAAATTAGAATAATAGAGGAGGAGATGACAACAGTAAAGCTTTGGAAGCTGCAAGACAGATGACTGTCACCTAGCACACTTGAAAAGCCCAATTTATACTGCATAATTCTCAAAAAGGCCTTGGAACAGGGCCATTGGAGCTGGAAATGAAGAATGAAGTAAATCAGAGAGGATGAAGTGAAAGCTGTTTGAGAAACATCTCTAAATCTCTGCATGCCTCTCTCTCAGAAGACTAGAGGTTTATTTCTGGACAGAATCAATAATCTATGGTGTGGGGGTGTCCTCAGGCTGGGAGCAGGTTAGGTGCATTTGAGTATACATGATGCTGAATGCAAGGCCCTGTGTTGTTTTCCACTTCTTAATGTAGTATCCTCATTAGATTGGAAGACTCTTATCTGGGGAATCTGACCAGCCCAGGAGGAACAGACTTAAGATAACATCAGAGGTTCCCCAGTAAGGGGCCCAATTAGATCACCCTCAGTGAAGCCCCAAAGTCTCTAAGCTGCAACCTCTAAGCAGATCTTCTAAAGGGTTTGTTTTTTTGTTTTTGTTTTGTTTTGGAAAAGGACTACCATTTATGCAGGAAAGCTCAAGTGATAACAGACAAAAGCAGAAAAATAGCACTTTGGAGGAAAACAAGAGTTAATATTAATGAACTCAGATGTTCTGATACATTGTATACTTGTCACTGTGAACTCATAAATCACTAGTTAATAGGGGATGCAGACAATTATTAACATGTAAACAGTATTGGCTCCTATATATATTTTTCCTAAAGAAAGAAAAGCCATAGAAGCAGATCATAAACTTCAGCAAGAAAAGGTCTTCACTTAGTTGCTGGCAGCCGAAGCCTTTCAAGTGTATTTGTAAAAAAAAAAAAAATTAAGTGCTTACCCCTAGGGCTTCCTCCCCAGAGAAGTATGCAACTGTTGACCTGGTTACAGGTTGAATCCCCTACTGACCAGCCTTGTGGTTTAATGTCTACTTCCACATGCACTTCAGTATCTCCCAGCCCTACTCTTAGCATTATGCCAGCACGTCTACACTACTTTTAAACAGTTTTACTAACGTATAATTGACATACAAATGCTACACTTAAGTATAAATACAATTTGATAAATTTGACTCATGCCTACACCTATGAAACCTCACTACAATCATCATGATAAAACCATCATCCCCAGGGATTTCCTCCTGTCTCCTGTGATCCCTTCCTGGTCTCCAGCCCTCTACTCCTATTCATAAACTTCATCTATCTCTGTGGTATCCTCCAGCAATGCTGAGAGCAATCTGAGTGGCTCAGATCAGCTCTCCAGGTACCAATTTATGTTTTTTTTAATTGGTGCTCTGTTTACAACTGCAGAGGATTTGAGGGGTATGCCTCAAACCTCTTTTCCCCCCATAATCTCTGTTGCTTTTAATGTTTTTGCAAGATGAAAGGTTTTTCTGGATGACATATACTTATGTTTCACAGTACCTCCCACAAAATGCTAACTTTAAAGGAAAAAAAGTAACTGTGGAGAGTCCTAACAAACACCACCTTAACCAAGTGATCAAAACTAACCTCAGCCATAATGGAACAGACTGGAATTGTGTCCACATAATAGAATGCAATGAAATAAAGTATGTCTAATGTTTCTGCCCAAACTATGTAAGCTGAATCTAGCCATAAATTAACTTCAAAACAAGACATATTTCTACAAAATTAATGGCCTGTGACCCTCACAGGTGTCAAGTTTATGAAAATCAAGGAAATTCAAAGGAATTTTTTCAGATTGAAGGCTAGAGACATGGAAATTAGTTGCGATGTGTCATCAGTGTAGATTGGATTCTTTTGCTATAAAGGGCAAAACTCAGGGTTGTGGATTCAACCCTGAGTAGTAATATAGTAGTAGTATAGTATAGTAGTAATATAGCAGTGCTTGTTAATTTCCTGATTCTGATGGCGGTTTTGTGCTGTAAGAAAACGTCCTTGTTCATAGAAAGTACCTCAAACTGTTGTCCAGTATGGTAGCAACTAAGCCATTGGTACTTATAAACATGTCTGGCATAACACTTCTTAAAATATTTTGGATAAAAATGTTACATTATCAAAATTATTTCAGCTGTTTTATTTTTAATAAGGACTATCAAAGTAAAATTACATGGGTGGCTTGCACTGTATTTCTTTTGGATGGCACTGCAAAGTATTCAGGCTGATTTGGTATCATGCTAGCAACTTACCCTCAAATAATTCAGGGAAAAAAGAAGTTATTAGTACTGAGTTGCAGCTTTTCTGATTGAATGAAATTATTTTAAAATGAAAATTATGTTAATGAGGGATATAAAAAGGTATGTTATTTTAGATTAATGGGCAAATGGGCATTATGAAATTTTAAGGTTATAAATGGCATTGACATTCATTTGGGGCCTATCACAAACCAAATGTTTATAATGCAGGAATTTCAGGAGTTAACCCCCACAACCATCACAAGTATTGGGGATTATCTCCTATGTTTAGGCTGTGATAGTGCCTTTAAGGAGCAGCACAAAGTCCACGTAGAGTCAGCTCACCTATCCCACTGGATGCTGCCTGCTCTCCCGCACCGCCGTTACGGGTTGTTCACTTGTCTCTTCGTCACTGATCTTATCGCCCATTTGCCATTAGCGGTGAGCCTGCTTGACTCTCACCTGTCTGTCCTCCCCTTTAGCCTTTCTTAGGAGGGCACCCTTGATTTATCAGGCCTCTTCCCAATTCCTGCAAACAGTTCAAGCCTTGCCTTGAGAGCAGGGTAGACAGTCTCCCTCTGACAAGAAAAGAGGCTCAGAAAGATTAAGTAACCTATACAACACTGTGCAGCTGGGATTCCAAATCTAGTTCTAATTCATTCCACTCTATAAAAGGAGGTCCACCTGCTTATCTGTCTCTGACAATCTACTTTCTCTAATTGTTCTGTTTCCTTCATAGAACTTACCACAATTCATAATGATCTTTTATGTCCCTCAGGAGATGCTAATGCTGTGATAGCAGCTATCTTACCTGACATGTTCACAGCTGCATCTCACTGCCTGGAACATAAAAGTGCACAATCAACTTTTACCGAACGGCAAAAAAAAAGGGGGGGAGTACCAGTTTACCAGTGTGTAAAACCTTTTTTAAGACTACAATGCAGTTATTTGTAAAAACTTTTCTTTTTCTTTAGGTATATTACAATATAAAAGTGGATATTTTCCATGATAAATGAAAATGGCCAATTCTTTAAGAGGAGAAGTACTGAATCTTTATAAGAATGTAAGTAAGTACGTTGCCAGTTTTGTAAATTTTATATGACAGATTGTTTAGAAATATATAATCTTTCTTTTTTAAGCTGCTGTATCTTGGACGAGACTATCCAAAGGGAGCAGACTATTTCAAAAGGCGTCTGAAGAATGTTTTCCTTAAAAACAAAGATGTGAAGGACCCAGAGAAGATCAAAGAACTTATTGAACGGGGCAAATTTGTAATGAAAGAACTAGAAGCATTATACTTCCTTAGGAAATATAGAGCTATGAAACAACGCTATTATTCAGATACCAACAAAACTCAATGATCAGCATTACTGTAATTTGACTGAGATCAGTGCCAGCTGTTTATGTACCAGCTATGACAAAAATAACTTTAAGGTGTCAAGATATATATTGTGTTAAAAATACCTGAGCTGCCTTACTGAACTAAAACAAGTTTCAACTTCTATTGCTTTATCAGCAACCTTTATGCTCAATTTTTATATAACAATTAACTAATGTTAAATGTCAATTTTATAGTAATTTAGCTATATAATGTTCCCAACTACTTATTAAAAATTGATGAGCACCCAATTTTGAATGAAAATGTACTTAAGTTTTATTGAAAAATTCACCAATTATTCTTAGCCCATTTCTGCATTTTACTGAAAAGAGAATGCCGTTTAATGTACACTTAAGCAGAATGATTTCTTGCAAGTTTATTTCCTTAACTTTTAAAGGAGCTCATTTTTTACCCCATTTGAGATGTTAACAGCACATATCCAATGTTCACTGCAAAAGAAGTAGCATCTGGTAATGATTTAAGTGCAGTTAGTAGAAATAATATGTATCGAGTTAAGAACTTGAAACAGCCTATCAGTGACTGGCATTACATAATATACCTATTTAATTATTTCCAGTATTAATTTTGCAATTGGATGCCTTTGGGCCTTAAATCACCTGTTGTATATCAATTACCTTCTTCAATAAAATGTAATGATTTATGTTATTCTATTCTTTTGTCATAAAGGCAGATTTGGTTTGCATCCAATTCTAAATGAGTTAATATGACATAGGACCTAAACATAACATGGTTTTAAGCAAACACTTAAACCTTTACACAGTGTTCACAGCACCTTTCACAAATAAAAAACATCTAGCTTATAAGATGAAGAGACGATTTACTAATATACTATAGCATCTGTTGCTTATAAACTATCCTGTATCATTTGTGGGGCTAATGTTTCCAATTTCCCTGGCAATCCAGTGGTTAGGAGCTGGCACTTTCACTGCTGTGGACCCAGGTCACGGTCAGGGAATTAAGATCCTACAAGTCATGCAGCACAGCCGAAAAAAAAAGTACAAACTATGATAGTCACCATAACTATTTTTATTACATTACAGTAATTAGGAGCAGTACAGTTCATGACAAAAATATTACAAATTTCAGATCACTTCACAGCACATACTCCTATAAACATTTAAAAGTTAATTTTAATTAAAAGAGTGGTCATTTTTAAATTTAATGTTTGATATGACCAACATTCCTAGGTCAGCGCAACCAAACGATGGAAAACAACTGGATCACACTGCATATGTCCCACAAAAAGAAAGCACAATGTACAAAATGTGCATGTTCAGTTTACACTATACAAAAATAGTTAAAATACATTCCAGGTAAACATGTTACATTAAGAAATAGTACTAGTAAGAAATTGGCACTCAAAGGAAAACTGCAAAAGTATTTTCAACATGAAAACACAAGACAGTGGAATTGGAAACTTCTGAATAAAACATTACATAACCCATTTAGCTCTATAGGGAAGGGGACCGTCTATAATTGACATTTCTGCAGGTAATAACTTTTTTTTTCATAAATTCATCTAAAATTGCCTATTATCATCCCAAACAGGCACTTAAAACTATTAAAACAAGTATTACTAGTTATGACTCATCTTTAGGAACTGATGTGAATATATCTCTAGAAAGAAAGGAATTTACAGCTACCAGTTATATGCTGTTGAATTTCTCAATGCAGATTTCATGCTACCCAATATCAACAACAAAGTTATTAAATATAAATTCAGATTTAAAGTTACTAATGGGTTGTTAAAAATCATTAATACAAAATAATAAATTATTACTTTTTGACAGATGGAAAGGGCAGGTAGTTTTTACTGCCTACAAAGAAACCTAAACATGTATATGTTTAGGAAAAATGGTTAGAAAAAAAAAAATCACTGGAATACAAATGAGATGAACTTGTGCAAACTGCAACTTAACATGCCTCACAAAGTTTCCATATATTTTAGGACAAAATTGTGCAATGGCGGCCAAGATTTTGATAACCGATAAAAGTTAGGTTCTAATTCCTATGCAGTGTGACTCAGTTAAAATAGAGCCTAGAATTCCTAAGTGGAGATACTCACTCAAATTTTACTACATACTTCTGCTACATTCTTCCACAAACGTTAATGTCTAAAACTATGTAATTTAGCAATTTTTTTCAACTTCAACAAGGATTTTTATCTTTAAGGCTGTAATTAGATAACATTTATGTTATTTCTAGGATTATCTCTCCCCTTTTAAAATCTCTACAAAAACAAACATTTTATTAAACCATTCAAAATTCACATAATAAAGGATAATTACCACTGCCATAAAAAAGTTGCCCAGCTACATCAAAAATTCAAGAGTCCTAAAAATCACCTCAGTTATACACTGCAATTCCTGAAGTATGGCCATTTCTTTCTCTTGTTTAGAAACAAGAGGAGGTACTAAAACAAGTCTTAACTCCCTACGTAATGTTCCAAAAGCCTGTAGTTTAATATAGCATCTCAGAAACCATATTGATTTTTACATAGAAGTTTCCTTTTCTGGGAATTAGCTCAGGCATCTGTTTATTTTTACCCAGAAGAAACAACTATTTTAGAATTCAATATTTAATTTTTAACATCTATTATAATTACTTATACAAAAAGACCATACCACACGCAGGGGGATTTTAACATTATCTGACATACAACTTAATTTGTACTATAACTGTCTCAACAGAATCACATAATTATGCCAAATTAAAAAAAAAATCAGATTTACTCCTCTAAAACATTGAAGTAAACTGATTTAATTAAAAAAGAGCTTGACTAAACAGCTACGCTGGAATAAGAGCAAAACAGTTATTTTAGAACTGGAAGAAACTATGCTTAGAGACCAGATCATTTTTTTGCAGGATTACAGCATGCGTTATGGTGTATCTGGGTCACATGACAGATGCCTCTCTGAGATACAGACCCTCTAGAAATAAACACTACTTAAGGACAGGCCTTATGTCCCATGTTTGGGTACTCTAATATCCCCAGTGCCTTGGGGAGTGCCTGGCATCTAGTAGGCACTCAAACATTTGCTGAATAAACAACTTCTGCTAAAGAGTAAGACATGAATTAAATTTTAAAGTATCTTTCATGGTAAGATTTTAGTTTTTAAAACAACGGAATGTATTACTATTAGCAGGGCTAGTCCTAGTAAATTACATAAGGAATTCTCTCAGCACTACTTTTATTAAATTCTCCTGCCACGGGATAGGGTTCTAACTATTCATAGCAGGTGTGAAACTCCTACTTTGTCACTGATGGACCAGGCAGCAAAGAGATGATGTTCAGAGGATCAAAATTAAATTGTTACAGCCACAACCTGAAAATTAGCTATTAGGTCAAATCCCATTATAGTATCTGTCAGATTATGTTGAGCCTGAGGAATTTTATGATATAGGACATTTTGATATGATTTGATGGGAGGCCATCATGGAGATATCCAAAGCAGCAATAAATCTTGAGATCAGAGAAATGAGAAATATTAAAAGAAAAAACATCAAGTCATGGGACATAGAGAAGGGTAAGGTAGGCAGGCAAGACAACACTAATATGGGAGAAGTCCTGGAAGCAGAGAACGATATTTAAAAATAAACTTCACCTCTTGCACAATTTTGCCTAAGACTGGCACTGAAGATGATAACACAGGTAAAAAGTTACAGATGGTGCTGAGACTGACAAATAGGTATATCCTTATGTAAACTGAATGTAAATCATAGTTATAAAGCTAGATACAGCCTTTGAGATGACTTCTTTAGAAATGAAGAAATGGCTAGTAAGTGATTTGTCCAAAATCAAAGACATATAACTTAGAATCTAAGTCACCTTCCTCCTTGTCCAGTGATACTTTCACCTCAACACACTATCTCAGTTCAAATATTTTAAAATAAGTTAACATTTTAAATGCATTCAAAGAATCATTTTGTTAGCATTACTTTATCTATTGTATAAGCATTAGATATTCTTAATAATGGACCAGACTGTACTGAAGTGTTTACAAAATGTTACTTTAGCCAGCATTAAGAGAACCAGCCAATACTCAAGATTTTGAAATTTTTTCATTTCATCATTTAAAAAAAATTAAAATCTTGCCACCCCACCTAAAATCTCATTTAAAACAATGTTTTTTTTTAAGTTCTGTTTTTTTGAATTTTTTGTTGTAAAAAAGTGATGTTCCTGAGTAGGACTATGACATAATGAGAATGTACCTTGCTGAGCTATTCAGTCTCTCTGCAAGTCCCTGTTTTTGACCAACCAAGGCATGACAACAATGGAAGACCACAGGGATGCAGTCCACACTGTGAAACTCTCCATGTAGCTTAAAGGTTCACACAAGGCCTGGCTTTGCCACCCTGCTCTCTGTAACACCTACCAAGCTAACTGGCCCAATTAATCTTTTACATCACTACCAGTAG